CCACGGGGGTGTGAGAGGAAGGTGGAAAATGGATGATGTTAGTCACTATATTATTTACTGCCAAGGAACGCTGTACTTTCGAAATGGTAAAATTTAACACGGTAAAGTAAAGTTCCTTTTTCGAACTTGACGGTCCATGGGAAAAGTGTTTCTTCCAGGCATCTTTTCAGGGGGGGGGGGGGGCTCTCTGTCCTCCCCTCCCCCGAAGAAAGTCTACCGCCCCCCCCCCCCCCGGAAAGCATCAAGTGCCCCCCCCCCCCCCGGAGAAAAAAGTCCTGAAAGAAACACTGTCACCTATTTCGGTGACCTCTGCATATGAAGGGATAGTGTGGTCAGGACTATGACCAGCAGAAATTTACCAACGGATCTCCTTCAATTCTGCCCTTCATATACAAAAGGCATACTTATAATAAACAAAACGAAACTCAGAGTCTTGAAATTGTTCAAATGGGACGATCTACCAACGGAAACAATACGTCTAACGCTTTTCAAAGAAAGGTACATTTCACGGTTTTATAGGAAGAATAACCATAGCTTTTATCTAAGTATTCTTAATTCGATACAATACAATGTTTGAGTTCATAGCAAAATAGATCTATGTATTGGCTATTTTTCTGAATCATCATTCATTAAAACGAAGGGTAAATTTCAACAAAAGAATGATATGCGGTATGTTGGTACAACTGAACAAACTGGACCTAAAAGCCGGTTAAGCTATGAATGCATTGAGTACACGACACGATTGCAAACAGAACTTTTAAGAGTTTATGTTGTATAATGTGATTCCAAGCGGGGGGTTTATAATAATTGGACCGAAACCAGAGGTATTCGGCCCGTTCCGGCGTCCTAGTCGACTACCCATCCCCGCCCTCCCTCGGTAAACAGTGTTTCTTCCAGACTTTTTTCTCCGGGGGGGGGGGGGGACTTGAAATTTTCGGGGGGGGGGGGGGGGGCGGTAAACTTTCTTGGGGGGGGGGGGGCGGACACTGTTAAAAGTATATATTTTCTATATAAATTATATAAATTTCATTCCGTTCGGGGGGGGGGGGGGCGGGTAAAAAAATTTCGGGGGGGGGGGGGGGGAGAAGAAACTCTGTTGGTAACCCACTGGTACGCCATCAGTCTACACATCGCTAAGATTTTTTCAATAAAAAGGTTAATGACGCTCAATCAGTGGTAAGCGACCTGTCACCACCTCGTCAAAATATCCTTCCGCCCTCACCACAACACATCGCCATGTAAAAATACAGTGTTGTTTAGGTTGCCTAGTATTAGGCGAAAATTATAAACCATAGTTAATGGGATTAGAGCTAAACGCGGGGCCATTTACTGCGTTATATCTCACGTGAATGGTTGTAATTTAGGCTAATGAAAATTAAAGCCTTTGTCATTCACAGTGTTATATGTTAGATGCATGGTTTAAGCTACAGCCAATGGGATTAGTGCTAAACTCGGAGCCATTAATAAAGTTATAATACATGATTATAATTATGGCTAATGGGGATAAATGTCATTCACAGTGTTATATGTTAGATGCATGGTTTAAGCTATAGCCAATGGGATTACATTTAAACTCAGAGCCCTTTATAACATTATATATGATTATAATTATGGCGAATGAAAATTAACGGGATAAGAGGTAAACATTGAGCTATTTACAATGTCATATTAGATAAACTATTACAACTATTGCCAATCGGGGATTAAAGACAGGGGCATTTACACCTCAAGTCAAAGATATAGTCTTGTTTATTGTTAAATTCAGGCTCATTAGTCTGATTTTAGAGTCCGATTTACGATTACGTCTAGGCGAGACCTATATATGTAATATATATATATATATATATATATATATATATATATATATATATATATATATATATATATATAATATATATATAAAGCTCAATTCTGTATGTAAAAATAAGTTTGTGTTTGTGGTTGGTTTTGCGTTTGGATTTGGTTTGTTTTCGTTTGCTTTTTCGTTTGTTTTTTTGTTTGTGTTCGTATTGGTGTTTGTGGATGTGGTTGTGGTTGGGTTTGTTGTTAGGTTTTTGTTTTCGTTTGTTTTTTTGTTTGTTTTTTCTTTGTGTTTGTATTGGTGTTTGTGGTTGTGGTTGGGTTTGTTGTTAGGTTTTTGTTTTCGTTTTTATTTGTAATTGTGTTAGCGTTATGTTTGCGTTTTGTTGTTTTGGTTTTGGTTGGTTGTGGTTTGGGATTACTAAACACACAGGTAATGGTCTTTAACAGAAAGGTTTTTCACAGAAGCCAGAGCAGAGCCTGGCCGGGACGGCTAGTATATATATAAAAGCAGAAGCAATTTATAGGGGAAAATATTTTTTTTACCGCGTACATCAAAAGCTAAATTTAAATGAAAGTCGGTTCAGAATTATGACGTCCACCCAGCTCTGATGGGTACATGACTAACATTGGGGAAAGTAAAGGCTGAATATAGTGCTGACCACACCATCAAGAAACATATGAACTCTACTTCATCTGCGAAATGGATTGCTAGTTCTAAAGAGGAGTTTTATTTATATTGTCTCCCCACAAAAGTCCTCATATTCATGAAAAAATATTCAGTATTGGGAATGTATATTTTAATTATCCGCTTATGTTTCAAAAACGAATTTAATATAATAGATTTTATTGTTAGTTTTTAAAAACGCAGTAAAAAAGGTATACTTTTTGCCTTCAAATTGTTCTTTATTGGATTTGTACATGCCATTCACAAGCACTGGTCCATGACCACCCATCATCGCATTGAGTGAATAAACAGCAAACTAAGTACTAGATTTACTATATGAATGAACGCCCGAGTAAACAGAACAATGAATGGCTCTTTCCCTAACGAGGAGAACAACAGAATGTTTTCTTAATGCTGGGTAAGCTCTGCCCCCCCCCCCTCTTAAAAAAAAATAAAGTCTCTCCCTATTCATGCCATCGCCACCTACTTTATAATCACTTATCTGAATCCTCATGGTCGACTCTCATCCTCCTTCCTCTTCCCTCCCCGCGGAATTCATCACTAATTAAGTGTTGTCATTTTAATGTGCTTATATAAACTAACCACTTGGTCTGTTGGTTGGTTTTACTGGTTAACCGAGTCAAGAGGAAATAGAGATAGGACTAAGGGGAAAAAACTCTTGAGTCCAGATCTGATTACCGTTCTTGAAATTGTTGTTTCCAAAAGCCAAGTGTTTAAATATCATGTTTAACTTAGTGTGAAAATTTGTGTACCACTTTCGTTTTCTGTTTGTGAAATCTGGGTATAAAACATTTGATTGTTTAAGCGATTAAATGTTTACAATTTCTGTAAATGAATGACACAAGCCAATACAGATTTGTTTATTAGTGCAGTTGATCTAGGAGAATTATCTACGTTGTTGTTCTTCAAGTGGTTTATGTTTATTCATCCAAGCACTGCGCCTTTTGTATATTACGTTAAAATTAAAAATTATATGGTAAACAATTTGCATATGGGATGTGATTTGCCTTACATGGTAAAATAGAATCCGAAATTCCAAGGATGCATACAACTAAAATGTCTGGATTATGTGTCACGTGTTTTTATATATGGGTGTTCAGTCTTCTACAGGTAAGATACATTATGTAACAGTAAATACAATATTATGCTTAGTTTACTATAGTATATATGGTATATTGGTATGCAATAAAGAGGGTAAAATATTTAAAACATTGTGTAATTGTTTCATCAGAAATCAGAAATATATATGTATTAATTATTTCAACCCATAAACGAATAGCTGTTTACAATGCTTAGTAAAAAATAAAATATTTCTCATAATTAGGCTACAAAAATAAATTATAAACAACAATATAATTTTTAGCTTTATAAATAAACCTAGTATTTTGTTTCTGTAAATAGCTTAAATCTCAGTCCAGTATCCAAGCTTAGATACAAGCTTGCCCACCAACATCAAGTGAGCTTTTTACTTTCTCGTATATACGAAGTATAGAGAAAGTATTGTAATCGTTACACCTCACTGATACGGAAAAACATAATTTTGCAATCTTGTCCGTATGTCTGTGTGTCTGTCTGTCTGTCTGTGTGTGTGTGTGTCTGTCCGTGTGTAAACACGATTACTTGAGTACCGTTACAGCTAGGTTGATGAAATTTCATATATACGTATTTTATCAAAATCGTAGATCCGTATCAACTTTTGAGCGATTTCCGATAACCGGAAGTGGTACTTTTCCTACTTTGAACTTTTCAAAAGCCTATAACTTGAGTACTATTTCAGGTAGATAAATGAAATTTCACATGTAAGTAAAAGATCTAATTCTCTAGCTTCTGTTAAATTTTGAGTAATTTCCGTTGAACGGAAGTAGTAATTTACGCTACTTCCGATTTCTCAAAAAACTAATGTAAATTTTTAAAGTACTAATAATATTGCGCACTATTATGCACTTTTTTTATTTGGCGTTCACTTGGTGTGCAATTCTTTTGTCTACGAGATTTTATTCTATTTTTAAAACTTTAAGTATTTAAAATGGATTAAAAATCATGTCTATAGCCCGAGTTCCCATCTCCTGTTATTTTATATAAGAATATTCGAGAAAGTTTTGGGGAGAACACTCCCGGTTTATTTTTTAATATAACTTTGTACACAGTCCTCTTTTCGACAGACGTTATTTTTTCTTATTCGTAAAATTACTAAAAAAATATGCAGAAAAAAAGTTGATAAATGTACGTTGAGGCAAGAATCAACTACCAGAAAAGAAAAATTATTAACGTCATGTGTGACGTGAATATTTAGACTCGACTAGTTGATCAGAAGGAACACAAAATGTGCCTGAAGATGTCATTAACTCTATGACGACATGTTCCCAGACTTAATACCAGTTGACACCATAAGATTTATTCTCATATAATTGATATATATATATAATATTGGAACTTAAACTCAGCACTATGCCGGCAATTTATAAAACTTCTGTTTAGGCCTAGATCTAGATCAAATTATTTATTAATTAAGATGGAATCACATGAACACAGCCAGTCATCTTTGTTAATAGTGGATAAAAAGCATCCCTACTTTTACTTCAGACTTCAGTTGACAATAGATGATGAAAATGTTAATGAATTAACACACACACAGTACAAATACTTAATTATGCAAGCTGTTACAGAAACTTTAGGGCAGATAGGTGCTGCCACAACTGTTGATCTTATAAGAGTTATGGACAGTGGCATGGCTTTGGTTAGAGTTCCAAGCAGTAAAGCTGAGAAGATTTGGGCATCACTGACACTTTACGGGACAACTCCAGCGAAGAGAAGATGTGCATTTAGAGTTCTCCAGGCTTCTCCATTTCTTATGTGTCTTGCATTTAACTCAAGAGCTGTGAGTTGACATTATGACAGATTCACATCTTGATGAAACAGTTTTGTACATATTTAGAATAAAACAGGAGAACATTTTTTTTTTACTTCATTCAGCTGAAAACTTAACTTAGTAGTGGATTTCAAGCTGATTTGACTGAAAAATAAACAATGTGAAACACAGTATTTCTCTTCTTGTTTTGTCTTCTAAAAGCTCAGAGATACCTCCTTAATTGAGCTCATATAACTATTATTATATATTGTTACTTTTATTTAATAAGTGAAGTAATAAGATATTTGTGTATTTTTTGTATATAAAGAATGACTGTTATTCAATTTTCATGAATATTACAATTTCACTTATAATGCATAAAATGATTAAAACCTCTTTACATCAAAACAAAATATATATATATATATATATATATATATATATATATATATATATATATATATATATATATATATATATATATATATATTCGTTTCTTTTTAAAGGTTGTTATTTGACTTACTTTGTTTTGTATGTCTGAACGTTGCTAATCTTGGAGTATTTATTTAACCCACTGCCTCTTGTCTCAGTGAGCATAAATTTGGAACAGTGGTACATCTTGGATGACAATGCAAGAATATATTAATAGTACTTAAATTAGTTACACTAGTTATTAGTTTGAATAAAAACTTTTAAACTTACTATATTATGTAATAAATTTTCTGGAAAGGACTGTTATAACAATGTACACTCTTTCCTGATGTAGATGACCGAAGGTGACGCGTTCATATCCATCAGGTTCGTGACCTTTCATAACCCCAGGGGACTTGGCAGTAATGGTCACTGTTGTGATGGGAAGTGGGGCATGTGTCCCACCGCTTGTGATCACAGCTTTGAGATTTGTTTGGATCAGATGGACGGGTCAGTTGACTATAGGTGTTTTACACGTTATATAAGGGGGGATGGGTCAGTTGACTACAGATGTTTTAAACGTTTTATAAGGGGGGATGGGTCAGTTGATTACAGATGTTTTACACGTTATATAAGGGGGTATGGGACAGTTCACGATAGATGTTTCACACGTTATATAAGGGGGGATGGGTAAGTTGACTATAGAAGTTTTATACGTTATATAAGGGGGGATGGGTAAGTTGACTATAGAAGTTTTATACGTTATATAAGGGGGGATGGGTAAGTTGACTATAGAAGTTTTATACCTTATATAAGGGGGGATGGGTCAATTCTCGATAGATGCTTTACACGTTATATATAAGGAGGGGGGATGGGTCAGTTGACTGTAGATGTTAAATAAAAACTGGGAGGAGTATTTGTCGGTTTATTGGAGACGTTTTCAAAATTATATGGGGGAAAGGGGGATGAATGGGTCAGTTTAACATTACTTAAGGGGGCATTGGTCAGCACACTTGAAAACTTTTATACTATATTTGGGAAGGGGGAGGACGGGGGAATTGGTTAGTAAAGTTAGTTAACTAGAGTAGTTTCAAACGTTGTGCGGGTTGCATGGGAACGTTACTGAAACTGTGTATAATAAAATATGCGTTTTTATTACAGTACCGTTGGGAACTATAAAAAATGCGCCTACGCATCGGCGAATTCTGGGGAAATCAGCAACGTCAACGCCATCACTTTTGGTAGCAAAATTGGACGTCTGGCAAATCCCATCGTCTGGCGACTTGGCTTTTGGCCGGTAAGTTCTTTTTAATCATATATATATATATATATATATATATATATATATATATATATATATATACTCTATCAATTGCATCCATATATGAGGATAACAACATTGGGAAGCAAAAGTTGCTGGAACCCTAATGGAAAAAGAAAAGTGGGCCAGCTTAAATAACCCATGAGAAAGACTAGTGAATGAGAAGCAATAGTTGAGGGTCTTATACGCATATTGCCGGTTATTTTTTATTTGTTTTATACATGTAATATATTTGTTAAGTGTTTGTATCATAACTTTCTAGAGTCAAGAATTTAACAACAACAAAATATTTATTCACTATATTATCCTATTTTTTTACCCTCGATATCTGGAGTTCTATGAAATATAAGCTCCCTATCCAGGTATCCTTTAGATTGCCAATGTTATCCTACCGTCTATATATAATACGTTCGTAGAAAATAGCCTGGGTGTAGACTTAAACCTCATACCCTTGAAGTGATAGAGGACATCGCGGGCCGCATCGGGCCCGCGGGCTGTAGTTTGGAGACCCCTGCTTTAGATCGACCAATGTTATTCTCCCATCTCCATATAATACGTTCGTCGAAAGACTTAAACCTCATACTCTTGAAGTGATAGATTTAGATTGTTTAGAGATACCAAACATGGCACATTGTTTCAACCACCAGGGCAGTGTTCTTCTCAAGATCAACGTGGTGGACGTCGATGACTCAAATAACGACGATCACGTGGCCTATCTCTATAGGCAGCTCAGTATACAACCCTTGGCCAACCCCGAGGAAACAAATTTCTGGTTGACGAACCGTGTTAGGTGAGTCAGGTAACAAGACTTACAAGTGTATAGTGTTTCTTCACACATTTTTATACAGGGGGGGGGGGGTGGGGCAGAGATTCTTCCAGGCATCTCTTCGGAAAAACATCTACCTCCCCGAACGAAATGTAATTTATATAGAAAATATATACACTCAACAGTGTCCGCCCCCCCCCCCCGAAGAAAGTCTATCCCCCCACCCCTAGAGAAAAAGTCTGGAAAAACACTGAGGGAAGGGAAGGGATTTTGGGATTGGGGAAGGGACGGGCTATAAGTTTCCAGGAGAGGGGGGACTGGTTGAAGTAAAAATCTTCTACATAAATTATATATCTTTTCTATTTCATTCGGTGGGTGGGGTGGGTAATGCTTTCCGGAAAGAAATTGAAAAAAAAAGTATGCCTACACACGATAAAAAAAAAACTCCGCTGAATATGTAAACAGTGTTTCTAGTCATTTTTATAAGGCGTTCCACTGAGGAGCTCCCTTGCGATGTCCTCATTATCTGATTGGTTTAAATCTCGTACCACCCTCTCACTGTAGATGGCGCGAGGGCTATTTATAGAACAACAACAGATAATGACAAGACAAGAACACTGGGCACTTACACGTGTCATTGTCTGTGCTTGATATATATATATATATATATATATATATATATATATATATATATATATATATATATATATATATATATATATATATATATATATAACTTCTCCAAGAAATGTCATAAAATTTGATCTCCCATCTATTTCTCAAATAAACTCAGTTACTTCTCTAGGACAAGACATTAAACATTACCTCCCATTTTTTTTTAACTACAAAGCTTGAACATTGCGGTACGTGTGTATTGTGGAAGGAATTTCTATGGCCTGAACTGCAGTGTGTACTGTGTTCCTAACGATGACCGAAACGGGCATTACACGTGTGATCAACGCACTGGGGCGAAAATATGTAATCTAGGTGATTTTGTTTTTTTTTGCTTGCTTTTTATACAGTAAAAGAATACAATACAATTTGATTTAATCTGTCTTGATACTGGTGATACGAGTTAGTCATTTTGGAACCAGCTTACAGAGGTAAATTTGAATAAAGCGACAATTTGTTTTATTTTAGAAGTCTAAGTTGGATGTAACACTTACACATTGAGTCAAAGATACTTCCTTGGTTATTGTGAAATTAAGGATCATTATATGTTTTTAGAGTTTAATTCAGGGTTACGTCTAGACGAGGCTCTTTGGCCAAGCGGAATGGGACAGGCTTAAGAATCGAGTATTTCGGGTCGATTCCGAACTCGTGAAATTTGCAGTTAACAGTCGCGCGGTGTGCCGTTAGATTATGCCGTCCCCAAGTAGCTATCACTCCCAAGTGGTCAAATCCGAATTCTTAAGTCTATCACGAAACTAAATTCAAAGAGTTTTAACTAAGTGCTGTGCGTCTGGTTAACGTTATCTACAGTATGTAGTAAGTTCCCTTATAGATCCTAACGATCCGAAATTGAAGTAGAGTTCACCTGTTTGTGTGAAGGGATAGTGTGGTCAGTAAAATGCCAAGCCGCCTTTACTTTCCTTAGCGTGAGTTAGGTGCCCACCAAAGCTGAGTGGACTCATGGACGTTCTACTGACTGGAACACGGATTCAAACTCGATACTTCGGGGTTAGCTGTCTAGCATTCTAAATCTAGGTCATACCATGCGATAACAAATGGTTATTTTGTGGATTGTTGAGTACACAACGGCTAACTTGAGACTTTAGGACGTCCATGAGTCGACCAATCCCTGATAAGTACCTGCTCACGTTATGGAAAGTAGAGACCGCTGGGCATATTGCTGACAGGATCATCGCTCCATATGCCTTGGCGCAAACAACAGCTAAACTCTACTTCACCTATCGTATGGAATATCATGTCCGGAATGAGAATAGCATCTGTATAATTTTGAAGGCTTTTATTTAACTCACTAGAAATGCGTGGCTCCGAAAATCTTGCAATATTACTTTCTCAATTCCCTTTTTTCAATTGAGCTAAAATTAGCACAGCTGTTGAACCTAAATGGCAATGCAAGAATACTAAATGTGCAATCTAAATAAAGAGATAATGAAATTTAAAAATTACTATATGCATTTACGATACACAATAATTAAAGGGAGATAATAAGATTTAAAAAAAATTCTAGCGATTGTTTTCTGACGAACAGGCTGGGTAGGAAGTAGCTGTAGCATCAACAAGGACGACTGCGTGGGCGAGGTTTGCCAGAACGGCGGGACGTGCCACGATCTGCTCAATGATTTCACCTGCACCTGTCCCCCGGGGTACCAGGGTCGCTACTGCCAGGCTGACGTCAACGAGTGTCTGGTGTACGGCCGGTGTCGCTATGGCGACTGCGTCAATTTACCTGGCACATTCAAATGCAGTTGCCATCTTGGTGAGCAGATGTTTTTTTTGTTGTTTTTATTTTTTATTTAGCACTAAACCTTAACGCTAACCATATTTCTTTTCGTCTCGCTTTACAAAAAAGATTTGAAATGTAAAAAAAAAGTAAAAGTGCTACTTTTAAATATTAGAGATTAGTTTATGAAATAGTTAAAATATTCAAATAATAATGTTTAACTATCATTGGGTTGGTTTTTTTTCTTTTTTTTTAAATTATGTATGCTAAGCCAGTTTTTTTTTTGTTAATCTTAACCAACTTAGAAACATGATTGTGAATACCAGGCTTTTTGTAAAAAAAATAAATCCACGGGGAGGGGAGGGGGAGGAAAGGGACAGAGAGGGGTGCTCGGTAGGGTTTGAATAATCCGGATAAGTACTTTTGAAGACTTTAAATTTATTATCTTCACCACATCTAGGCTACGAGGGACCCAAGTGCGACATCAACATAGACGACTGCGCAAACAGCCCTTGTCGAAACGGGGCCACTTGTACCGACGGCATCGGCAACTATACTTGCCAGTGTGCCGTGGGCTACATAGGTAATCTTGTGTTCAATCTTCTCTACAGCAGTTATCTCTCCTTAATTGAAATAGTTATATCCCCTCTTTTTGCAGTTATATTGCTGAAAATTCATTCTATTATGCAATTAGGAAAATAGATATACACACAAGTACTTGTAATATTCAACATGTTTTTATATTCATTGTATTTTACTGAACTGTTGGTTTGGTTTGTCCAAAAATATTCTCTTTACTTTACTTCTATAAGCACAGTTATCTGCTCTCAACTGAATCAGTTAATTCCCTTTCACTTCTGCAGTTATATTTCACATATTATAATCAGTCATCTCCCCTACTCTACAATGCTGCAATAAAAATAGATAACAGCAGAGTTTCTTCCAGGCATGTCTTCGGGGGGAGGCGCCCCACCTAAGAAAGTCTACCCCCAAAACAAACTGGTATTTTATATAGAAAATATATACTTTTAATAGTGTTTCCACCCCCCGGAAATTTTAGTCCGCACCCCGGAAATTTAAGTCTCCCCCCCCCCTCTGAAAATTTCAAGTGCCCCCCATGGAGAAAAAAGTCTAGAAATACACTGGATGACAGACTTTGCTTGATATTATAAATCATTTTCTCAACTTCATGTGACTAGGCCAAGACTGTGCAGACGACTTGAACGAGTGCAGCTTCCACCCCTGTGAAAACAACGCCACCTGCCTCAACTTTGTCGGCTCGTACAAGTGCGACTGCCTGCCCGGCTACAGCGGCAGCGACTGTTCCCAGGACGTCAACGAGTGTCTGAGGGTGCCGTGTCAAAATGGCGGTCAGTGCAGCAACTTGCTGGGAGGGTATAAGTGTCAATGCCCCGGAGGATTTGAAGGTAAGGGACGATACGGTGTATGTTAGAGATGTTGTATTGCTAGTGTACATTTTTATTCCTAGTTTTTAATGGGATCCTGACAAAGGCCGATATTGGTAAAAGGCCGACACGGAAAGAAGACCGATATCGACAAAAGGCCGACACGGACAAAATACCGACATCGACACGTATCAAACGGCAATAAGAAAAATAACCGACTGGAAATAAGGCCGATCTCTAAAAAAGCCGACATCCAACTGATTCGTGCGCACAATTTTTTTATATTAAGTTACACCCACGTTTGTTGTGTCTGGTGACTTAAGTTAAAAATCTGAAAAATAAATCCCGTCTAGTGATGTATTTATAAATATTTTAAAAATACTTTAGCGTATTAATGATCGCATAAGCTAGTAAATATTCAAAGTATGTCCACTTTTACTTACAACCATGATTGTTACACATTTTGATCCAGAAATTTGAGGTCAATAATAGACTAAAACAGATCAATTCTAGAGATTTATTTATACATGTTTTCAAAAATATTTGTATATCCATGTTAGTGAAGTATATTAAAGGCACTTTTAATTAATTTATCGGGAGGGGAATTTATTCTTAGTTTCGTCAGAGGACTATTGAAATATATTTAATTCAAAGCTGGCAAAAATATATTATTTATAGTATGTTTTTTTTAAAGATTTAAAACTTAATTTTAAATGTTTTGAAACTTTTTTTTAAAGAAAAAAATATACTATTTTATTCTTGTTTTACATTTAAGAGAATTTTATTGGGTCTTCGTTGTAAAATGGACATTTATGAATTTAGATTTATCTGCATTGATTTTGTAAGGACTTTATTTGAAAATGGACACTGGTATAATATTATATATGTGGTAATGTTATCAGGTCTGCACTGTGAAACTGACATTGACGAATGTGCCGTGTCCAACACTACTTGCCTAAACGAGGGGACGTGCAACAATACGGTTGGGGGATACGTCTGCCAGTGTCTGGAGGGTTACAGTGGTCGTTGGTGCCAGACGGATGTGGATGAGTGCCTGGATCAGCCATGCATGAATGGCGCCACCTGTCTCAACGTTCCTGGAAATTTTAATTGCGTTTGTCGCAGGGGATTCGCAGGTTTGGAACTTTGAGATATAGTTTAAGGCAGGGGTTCCCAACCCCGTGCCCGCGGGCGCCATGGCGCCCGCCGAACGATTCGTATGTGCCCGCCTCTCACTATTCGACAGAGACAGAATTATTTTCATAAACATTATTGAAAGGTTGAAGGGGATGGAAATCGAAAGTTTGAGGGGGGGGGGGGGTGCAAATCGAAAGTTTGAGGGGGGGGTGCAAATCGAAAGTTTTGTACCCGGGTGACGGGAAGGGTTGCCACGCCTCTGGAAGGAGTTTGTCGATTTAAAATAGGTGGTGCCCGCCACCCTACCGATATTTTAGAATGTGCGCTAGAGTAAAAAAAGGTTGGGAACCCCTGGTTTAAGGTGTCTATGTGGTCGGGACGGTAAGGATGGTGGTGCTAAACCAAAAAGTTCCGAGTTCGACTAGTGAGGATCGATATTTGGGGATAGCAACCCATCTAGGAGAGACAACTCCAAAATCAAACAACTGCTGCCTTGTAGATTGTTCTTGGTTGGACAAAGGCTGTGGAAGTAAATCCAGAAAAAAGGCAGGCTGAAATCAGAATCAAAGGCTCATAATACGCTTAAAATGCTATACTAGATTGTTTTGTAGGGAAGGTGTTATAACTAAGTCCAGTATTGATGCATTTGGTTATCTACCCCCCTGGCCCCTCCCGTCCCACACCTGAACTGGGACACAATGCATCCCAGCCCCACCTAGCTATTAATGTGCAGGCTAGCATGCCCGCCCCTCCCCATCGCTGGACTGCCAGTGTCAGGCAGGGGTTAAGGAACCCGAGGGTGAAGCTAGGGGCAGAAGAATAAATTAGACAGTTGAACGTTAGGCTTGCTAGCATGTAGTCGTGTTTTGTGTTTAATAATGTGTGATAGGGCTGGCCCCTAAGGCTAGTCACTATTGATGTCGAAGTTTATTTCCTAGTTACACAAGAGCAAAAGTAGTAACCATTAAATTTGCTTAACTAAAATTGTGTTGGTGTCTTCTTCAACAATCAAGTAATCTAGTGTGTCTAATTCACCACACAACTGTTTAACCTCTCACTGCAGTCATCACCACCATCATCAACGTCATCAAACTATATGAAACACACTGATGACTACATAACAGAAGGAATTTTGTCCAACATTACAATTAAGAACGAAGGATATAGTTTAATATAGCTACAATATTTTGGAAAAAGATACGCATGCAAAATGGTAAAAAACTACCGCCTTCATTCGCGGCGTTGTTTTCGACGGTAATATGCATGCGTATGTTTACAAACAAACCGCAGAACCCTAATTCAAACACTAATCGTAACCCTAACCCTACTTGTAATACAAATATAAAGTCTTTATTTTTTTATAACAATGTTGTTGTTTTGGTTTTTTTTTTAGGAAAATACTGCAAGGACGATATCAACGAATGCGACAGCGGAGTCTGTCAAAATGGCGGCAGCTGTCTGAACCTGCCGGGCGGGTACCACTGTACCTGCACGGACTTCTGGGAAGGATTAAACTGTCAGACAAACGTCAACGAGTGTCTCACCAACCCTTGTAAAAACGGACACTGTCAAGATGAGATCGACGGATACCGCTGTGTCTGTCCTTCTGGTTTTATCGGGCGTCATTGCGAGACGGATGTGAACGAGTGTGAGGTGGAGGGGGAATATTGTTTGAATAACGCAACGTGCGTGAACAGTGTTGGGAGTTATAGTTGTATTTGTGAGGAAGGATGGGGAAATGAAAGCTGCGGGGAGGACATTGATGAATGTGTTACCTTGAAGTGTAACAACTGGGGGAGGTGTACCAATACACCGGGTGGCTTCACCTGTGATTGTATGATCAACTGGACAGGGCGGAGATGTGAAGAAGACGTGGACGAGTGTGTTGGGGATAAGCAAATTTGCAGGAACGGAGCGACGTGTGTTAACCTGTACGGGACATTCAACTGCGTGTGCCCTCCTGGATGGACTGGGGTTCAGTGCGATGAGGATATAGACGAGTGCCTGATCAATCCTGATATCTGCTCCTTCCGAGGTAATTCTACGGGTAGCGTAAGTCTCAACAACGAGACGTCAGATTCTCATGTAGTGTGTCACAACACGCCGGCTAGTTACACATGTGTGTGTGCTGAAGGTTGGACTGGGAATCTGTGTGATGTCGACATTGACGAATGCGTCGAGGGTGTAACAACCACGGATCCGTACGGAGAGAATTCGGATGGGTTTTTAAACGAAAATAGTACAGATCATAATATAACCTTTTCTCCAAATTTAGCAAGAACAGATAGTGAAACGGAAAACATTTCTTATGTTGGTACTTCTACAGAAAGGTATACGAGAGGGAATAGCGGTGAAAATAATGAAAATAAAACTAATAAAGGTAACATGAGTGTGTTAAAATTCAGTAGAATAAGCATGGCACATACTTCACAAAGCATGAAATATGTATCACCAAGCATGTTGACCCCGCACCATGTTCCGGCATGTTTGAATGCCGGACACTGCAGCAATAGTGCCGGTAGCTTTAGCTGTACCTGCCCACAAGGATTTACTGGCAAACGCTGCCAGATAAATATTCTTCAATGCAAGCATCATTGTTCGGATCATGGTATTTGTGTGGAAAAAGAAGAGATGGTTTACTGTAATTGTGATGACGGCTGGGAAGGGGATCTGTGTGAATGGCAACCGCCGTGTTACAGTAATCCTTGTAAAAATGGCGCCACTTGTCAAGGTTCTGATTCTGATTACTTTACATGTCACTGTGATGAAGGATGGGACGGACGTCTATGTGAACATTGCCTGGAAACATTTTGTTACCCGGGGGGAATTTGTTTAGCTGATGCTCACAACGGTAGAACATGTCAGTGTAGAAAAGGTTGGAGTGGAAAAAACTGCAACGTATCTCTTGTAGATGAATTCCATGCTACTGTGAGTAGACTGACCAACCAAGTTCCGAATTCACCTCAGATTTTAAATTCAAGTTTACTAATCGATTGCGAGCACGAGTATTGCATCAACAGTGGCAGTTGTCATTTTGTAAAGGAATCTTCTGGACCGGTTTGCAAGTGCCCCAGGGAACATCCATTCACAAGATGCACAAAGCTACCGTCTATCAACTTCACTGTACATACAGTTTCCTGTTCAGAAAATTATTGTAAAAATAACGCCGACTGCTTTGAGAGTTCTAACAGATTCATTTGTATTTGCCAAACGGGTTGGACAGGCAATCGATGCGAAGAAAGAGCGCAAGAATGCAGCGAAGAATTGTGTCACAGAAACGGGCAATGTGTACTCACACACGGCAAGTTTTACTCGTGTGTGTGTGACGAGGGCTGGAGTGGTCTTCAGTGCCAACTGGACATCAACGAGTGCCGGAACATTCCGTGCCGGAACAAAGGAACCTGTGACAATTTAAACGGATCTTACAACTGCCACTGTCAGGGTAGATGGACTGGCAAAACTTGCTCTGATTTTGGTAATCTTCAGCTGTTAGAGACAGGATGTGACATCAGTTCTATTTATAAACATTATTGTGATAAGTCTGTTACTGTGTATAAATAACATCTAATTTTTGTATTTGGTTTTTTTAAAACCTTAAACCAGAATCTCACAGCTTTGCAAAATAAATAAAAACTACCTCATTTAAATACTATAAATATTTGTCCATTTGTACACTAAAATTTAAATAAAATGTAGATTATTTAAAATGCTTTGCATTACATGTTTAGGTAGTTGTATGTTCTCCAGTAGGACATAATATATCTAATTTTACTAAGCATAACTACTAGCATGATTGTAAGGGTCAGGGTTAAGTCAAGGGTTAAGACCCTGCCAAGACCCTGATATAGATTTAATAAGCACCAAATGTTTGCATGTTTGCACTTGTAAACTCATTCAATTTTACTCAGAAAACTTGTTAATCACAAAATATCATTTTTGCACTTTAGTACTTGATTATATTAAATCATGTTAATATTTTCGAACATTTGATGATAAATACATTTACAAAATTAGCTACATAATAACTCTAAAATTAATTAAATCTTGAATTTGAATTAAGTTAAAACAATATTTTAAATATCTACCTTAGTATAACTTGTAAAACAATCTTTTCCAGAAGTTTCCATTCCATTTTACTTGGACTGTAATATAACCGACACAATGAACTGGACGGTGAGTAAAGGACTTGAAAAACTCTTCAAGGATTCCATGTTGTACAATGGGACAATCGAAGCAAGCTACAAATCTCAGATGGAAACATCGAAAGATGGGTAATGAACAAAACAATGTATAATCTTGTGACGAAATTTTCAATCTCCTTACTTGTGTGTACAAAAAGATTTGGCCTAGAAGTAGCAGAATTTCATTCGCATATAATCGCATACCTGTGAAATATAAATAAGCATATTTAACAATGTAATCTTAATTTTGTCTAAAAGTTTAATTACATGATTAAAAATGTGACTATCTTGGTCAATTGCATCATAACCTGGTATTCTTTTATCTGTAAAGTCTAAAATCTTAAATATCAATATCCGTTCAGAAAAAAAATGATTACAATTAATAATAAGTATTTACTTAACCCTTTGAAGCCCAAAAGGAGCAAAAGGTTACAGCTCCATCTAATCACTGAATTCTTTTGTGCAGGTCTCTTGAGTTAAGCTCATGTAAACCCAACAGCCCTTTCTTCTCTTTCCACTGTCATGCTACAGATTACTCAGGCCGAATAATATATCATGTGTGTATTTTTTTCAAGGAAAATCATCACTGCCATTTATCCGGACATCCAAGTGAGTGGTGAGGAACTGGAGGAGCATGAAGTCAGCTACATCCTGAACAGGTTCAAATCCAAGCTGGAACATTACATGTACTGTCCACTGTTTCTTGACGCGGTGGCTGAGAAAGTCCATTTTGTCGAACCTCCTCTGGTAAAAAAAATAATAATAGGATACAAATTCATTATATAATTAAAATCTCACTATTTTTCCCATAATTAAATTACAGTGTATAAATTAAAGGTTGCAGTTTTTTTTAGTGTGTTTTTAAAATTAAAAAATCAAAGCTAGTTGACACGTATACTTAATTGTGTTGGAGACGTGGTCGAGTCAGCAAAAGCTCATGGTTGTTAAATTCGAAAAAGTCTTGAGTCCGAACCCTCTGGCAGATAAGGCTCGACCCCCCCCCCCCCCCAAACACTAAAAATTAAGAACGAAGAAGAAGAACAGTCATTATTTTAACAGCAATGCTAGTCATATCCCCTCTGCGTTATTGTTTTGTTTCTTTCCATTGTTAACAAATGTACAACATTTTAATTTACCAGAACTACAGTATAGAGAACTGGTACCCTGCCTTGATAGCTGCGTGTGGACTATTGGCTATTGGCTTGGTTGCCATGATCATTGTTAAAAATTGCAAGTAAGTTCTCTCTATAAGCATGGCTTAGATTTCTTGAGTTATATTCTGTAGTCAATATCATTTCTCACAGCAGGTAAACAAACTTCTTATTGTTGGTTTAGCTATGACCGAAACTCTTTCTTGGTGCTGTTCAAGCGACATTGTTTACATCAGTGGCGTAGCGAGGGGGGGGGGACGCGGACCGCGCCGGGTGACACCATTTAGGGGGTGAAATCAAGGCAAAAAAAGCAAAATATATTAAGAAAAATGATGATTCCGCTTAATTAAGTGATTAATTAGAGTGTTAAATAGTCTTTTAAGAGCAAATTTGACAAATCCCGACAAGGGTGGAGGGGGGGGGGGGGGTGACACCATTAAGTGCCGCACCGGGTAACACCCCACCTCGCTACGCCACTGGTTTACATTTAATTGAAACAAAAACAGAATTTAAAGGATTTAAAAGTACTATCACATGATTATCAGAAGAGAGTTCACCTTTTCCCGTGGTCATGTAAATATAAGTCGTGGACAACATAAGGCTGAGCTGCTTGAGTTTCACTCAGCTTATATCAGTCAGACTTGAGGCCGATCCTAGCAGCTTCCGCTATCACATCTAACTTAAACGACTAAATCACTGTCAGAATTGAATAAATGGAAGTGTTCTATATTTAGAATGACATGGCGGCCAGTGTTTCTTCCAGTTTTTTTTTTTCTCCGGGGGGAAGGGAGGGGGGAGGGACTTGAAATTTTCGGGGGGGGGGGGGGGGGGGTGGCGGTCAACATTTTTCGGGGGCGGACGGCGGACACAAGTAAAAGTGTATGTGTATTATATAAAATCCATCTCGTTGGGGGGGGGGGCAGAGCCTGGAAGAAACTCTGATGGCGGCGTAACGTGCCGGGGGAGGTCAAAAAGGTAGGGAGGAACTGGGATCAGCTGAAAACTGTGGTAGGAACCTGTGGTGGGGGGTGGGGGGGGGTGGAAAGCTTTAACATAGGCCTCATGTTCCGTAAGGAACGAAAGAGAAAAAAACAACAACGATAATGATAATGATTTAAAAAATATGAGTGATCCATGTAAAAATCTGAAAACCGAGCCAATATTTACAAAAATAATTTATTTAGACAAAAAAAATTAATTTAAACAACGCAACCCTTTACCCTTTCCTACCTTTGTTATTATTCTTAGATCCAACCGGGATGGCAGCGTGAAATACGATGCCAACCTGAAGCAACCCATGTCCTACAGGAACGAACTGTACCTGGAGGACACCAGCGCACAGGGACAACCCAATGATGAAACCAGTTCTGGTGATTTCTTTCACCCATCTGACCAGTCCACGTCGTTTGTGACGTTTTCTTCAAAGGTAAACCAACTCCATCTTCACTGAACTGTTATACTTTTTTGTTTATTTTACATGTTTATCAAAACCTGCAGTTACGATCAAAGGAGATTTAATACAAATGAAAATAAAACATAAGCATTCATACGTCTGATTTATATGTTACAAGACCTTAAATTAAAAGTTTTGTTTTTGTTTTTGGCAACGAAAATCGTTTACATCAATTAGCTGTAGGTTTTACTGTAGATTTAATGTTAGAATTTATAGTACTTAACAAAATATGCTTGTGTCTTTCTGGTTCTCAGAAAAATGCGCGATCGGAAAATTACGCAACGGAAAACTTCGCAAACAGAAAATTGCGCAAATGCAAATATTTATCCTAAGACACTTTAATTGTGTCCTATTTCGAGGAAATTTTTGATTATGTTACAAAGTACATAGAGTCATTCTTTGTTAATGTCTGCAAACGCTCGATGTATTAAAAAAAAAGGCCCTTGCGGACTTTTTTGTGCGCAGTGTTCTGTTGCGCATTTTCCGGTCACCTTTACGCCTATATGACGCATAACAAGTTGACATGTAATACTTAATCGTGATAGATTTAATCCCTTCCAACACTAAAATTAAGAAAGAAAAAAACGAATTGTCTCCTGATCAATTTCTAAAAACATTTCTAAAAAAAGAAAATATAGATAATTTTATCTTTCTTTTTGTTTCCAATAAAACTATAAACTATTTTAATACAAAACAGTTCCATTATTTCTAAATTGGCAAGAATCGAATGATTCATTTCTTTTTGAAAATAAAGTTAAACATAGAGGCTATATATTAGCAAGTAAAAAAAAAACAAATAAATCACAATGCATCAAATCATTTATGGACCAAAATAATGTGGGTATAAAATAAACAAAAAACTTGATGGTTCTCCGAGGCAGGCTGAAATGAAGAGAACCGTCTCTTATGAAGATGTGCAGGGAAGTCAGTCAGTGGAGAGAGAATCTAAAAATACCTCCATCAGTAGTGGTAACCTTGGTGATGAGCATACGCTTCGCTTCTGCGAGGCTGTTGCTGGTGTTTGTCTTGCTTAAAAGCATGTTTACACTTGCGACATGTTTATTATACTTGTTTAGAAAAAAAAAAAAGTTAGTGTTATTTGAAAACATTTCCCCTAAAGTCCTTGCTATTCTTACTGGTGTGAGTGCATTTTTCCAGACATGTATAGTATACATGTTGCTAATGTAAACCCGACGTAACAGCTAAAAATATTTTAAATTTTATACTTTAATATCATATATAACTGTTTGATAAAACATAAGTATATTTAGTACATGATAGTATTTTTTTTAATTTGTAAAATCAATGAATATAACATTTTCTTTTGTTACAATTTACATAACATTTTTAAAAAAATGCTGATAGAATCAAACAAGTATTATTTGAGATATCTTATATTGCTTGCATTGTATTTTGGGTGCTGGAATAATTTTCATTTAAAAAGATTAACTAACAGCTTCATTACAATGCTTTGTGTTAGCGGTTTCTAAACCAGGAGCCACTACTCATTGATGGGTTGGGGATGCTTGAAAAAAAGTGTTGAAATGTAGTTTTCTGAAACAACCTTCACAAATAAAGCGCATGGTTGACATAATTTAGTATCTTTTTTTTTATAAACAAGTACATCAACTGCAATAAATATTTACATTAAGGTATAAATAAAGTTTATTTGATGTTATTTTACCGAATTAAGAAGATAAAAAAATATCTCGACAGATATTTAAAATAGTTGAAAAACATTTTTTTTTTAAATTTGTATTACTTTTCGTCAATTCGTTTTAAATAATCAAGGGAGACAACGATAAACTATAAAATTTAAAAATGCTAAATATAGAAGCAATTTAATTATTGAAAAAAAATGTAGATTTTTCATAATTGTATTTTGCGTAACATAAGTTTCAATCAATCTATTGAATTCAATTTTTAATATTTTGTTCTACTAAAATTGTTCTTGCAAGCTAGTTTAATTAAGGAAACAGTGGTTAATTTAAACACATCATAAATAAATTAGAGAAAGGCCACTTTATCATCCATTGGTTGACAGCAGCTTGGGTTGCTTATTTTACATTTTACATGTCTGAGTTTAATGAACTTTGAAGAACGTCATTGCACTTAAATGCTGCAAAGAGATCAGCCATCGAAATTGATAATCAAATAGAAGAACCTACTTACATAGACCCCCATACATCTGCACGAATCAGATAGAAGAGTTATATTATAACTCATTTATTATTATTATCAGCTGGATGAGACCGAATGTTTGCGTGGCAAAAAGTTTGGAAACTGCTGATATATGTGTAGTGAATTTTCAATACAATGTTGATCTAACTAATTAACATTTTTACTCTCATCGTAAAACCAAAAGCAATTTACACAAAGATTTCAGCAACATATTTTGGTTTTATTGTTTTAGAAAATAAATCCACATTAAAAAACAGTCATTTTTATATTTCATGTAAGAAAAAAAGAAACCTGTTAGCCTGATAAAATAAAATAAAATATAATGCACCTACATCGCTAAATATAGTTTTATTGAAGCATTCATGTGTAAAAATGTAACATTATAAAGAAAGTTTAAACAACTGGACAAGCATTCTATCTCGGTGGTTGATACACAACTTATGTTGCTTAGTTTTAATTATTTAAAAAAATACGTTTAAAAATATTTAAATTATCAGTAATTGATTTTAAATTAAACGAAATATTTTCTTATATACCTACATTTGCTATGTTTAGAACTCTGTTTTTTGTTATTACCTTTCTTCTCTGGGCCTTAACTAATGAACTTATTGCGATATTGTTTTTTTTTCTTTCTACGTTCCAGTATCCATTTATGACCGACCCAGACACACAACCGATTTTTCCACCGGAGATCTAACTTCAGAAAGTGATACCAAACAGGTAGGTTAACTTTATTTGTGCTCGTTTTGTTTTGTATGTTCTCTAACCAAGGCTTAAGGGGGGGGGGGGCATCGCCGAACGAAATAGAATTTATACTGAAAATCTGAAAATTCTAGAGAAAAAATCAATACATTCACCAGTGTCTAGCCCTTACCCTCGAAAATTTAGTGCATCCTGAACATTTTCAATTCCCCCCCCCCCCCCCCCCCCCCCCCCGAGATAAAAGTCTAAAATGAAACAGTTCACTGGCTTGATGCACTCTCAACACCCCCCCCCCCCCCCCCCCCCGCCACCCCCACATCCCCCACCCTTAATCCCAATCCGCTACATTTCCTCTATTTACCAATGCAAACGATCTTAAAAAACGTATTTTTTTTCTTCTCTAAATTTCATATAGGCCTCCCAGAGTTATCAATCTACTATAGAAGTCCGTAAACTACAGCGTCCAGCATCTGATATATCAACGGCCGACAGGAAATACAAAAATATTATCGTTCCCTTTTCAAAGAGAGGAGGACAACAGCAGTGCAAGAAAGTCAAAAGAAGACATGTACATGGACATGGACAAGGGTGACTCGACAACTCATCAGGATGTGTTGGGCAAAGTGGGAGTGGGGGCATTGGGGGATTGTGAAACGACAAGTCGTCCGGATGTGTCCAGCAGAGAGGAAGTGGGGACACCCACACGGAAAAAGATTTTGCCTGACGCGGAATATGAAAAGAGATACAAATATTTACCGTACATTGATGATCCGCCGTTTCATGAGTCTAGGCTGAACGCAGTTTTTACCCAGAAGCTTTGATGTGAACTTTAACCCTAGAACAAGATGATAATTTATATACAAGTAGATTCACCGTTGATGTTTTTCTTTTTTTTTTAATTGTGTATTTTCATTCAATTAATTGATTTATTTTATTTTCCGTGTTAAGGGAAATTAAATATTTTATGATATTAAAAATTAATACATGTTTAGTGAAAAGCTGAATAAAAATTTATAAAATGGTTTAGAATATACTAGGCAAGAAACATTTTGTTTTTAAAAACACAGCAAGAAGTACATTTGTAAAAATTATAAATTCTTGTCTGAACAGAAAACAAAATAATATAAATAAATAAATAAATAAATAAATAAATAAATATATATATATATATATATATATATATATATATATATATATAATATATATATATATATATATGGAGAGAAAGAGAAAGAGAAAGAGAGAGAGAGAGAGAGAGAGAGAGAGAGCGAGAGTGAGAGAATGGGAAGGAGAAAGACAGATCTTTCCTTACTAGTATAAAACAAGTAAAATAATTATTTTAATGAATTTCAAATTCAACATCTTTAAGAAATCCAATATGTTTAGTATGTGTGGGTATATTTGTTGCTATGTGTCATTGTATGCCTACTCAATTACTTTTTTTTATTGTTATAATTTCTCGTTAATGTTATTTAAGAAACACAAATTTTATTTTATTTACATATTGCTTAATGGTTTTTGCTTCTATCACTTCAGTAACTGAGATTTGTTTTGTAATACTAATTTCAAAATTTTTCTTTTAGTATTTTTTTTAGAAAAAAAATAACATTTTATAAATTGTGTGTTTGATTTAAAAATGTTATTCCTCATTTAAATATATATTTAAAATGAACGCCATTTTGGATAATTTATGTAAAAACTTGTTAAAAAAGTAACATGAATAAAAGAATACAAATTACCTGAACACGAAATTTCTAAAAACAATTATTTGTCTGACTACATAACATGTAAAAACAACGAGCACAGCACAGCGCAACTTCCTACGTGATCAGTTCTAGTTAAAACTAAGATTAAGTAGAATGCAATACACGAAGCGTACAGTCAATGTTTCTTGGTTAAATGTTAATGTTTTAAATGAGTAATGAGAGTAAACCTTTCACTATTAATAAGTGAGAAAAACTATATATTGAGCAATTAATTAATTTCATAAACAGAAACAAAGTTACAAAAGTGTAAGGATAACTCTTTCCTTTAGAGAACTTGCGGGCGGACTTCGCAAAAAACGTCTAGAGTCGCTAAGCACCGACCAAAAAAAAAGTTCTTTATAAACCCACCATTCAGAAAAAAAAAAACATGTGTAAAGACACATTCCTCAGATATAGAATGGTTAAGAATAAATACTTATTCCTCATATATAGGATGGTTCCTTTATAACATCCTCATCTCCTTCACTCCCATTTCTCTCATCTTCACTCTCCATCATCAACTCAGAGGCGTAGCAAGGGGGGGGGGGGGGGGGCGGGGGGGGGGACATATGTCCCCAGGCGCTGACCTTAGGGGGGGGGGCGCCAAATTGAAAGTTTGAGGGGGGGTGCAAATGAAAAGTTCGAAGGGGTGCTAATCGAAAGTTTGTCCCCGGGCGCCGGGAGGGGTCGCTACGCCTCTGCATCAATTCACTCTTCCATACCCAACTTCTTTCCTCCCGTCCTCTGTAATTTGTCACAAAAGCTAATTGTGTTGCAATTTTTCCTTTAATAAACGAACAACGAATTGGAGCCTGTTTTCTCCATTGTTTAAGCAATTAAAAAAACTGTGGCCTTCTATTGAGTTATGTTTAGGAGAGATTCAGGTCATAACGCAGGAAGGTGGGACGGATTGGTCAGACGGTAGAGTGTTTGACTGGGTACCCGATGATGTCGGGTTTGGAACCCGGACATGAGTACGTATGACGTCCCTGAGTCAAACCAGCTCAGTTAAATACCTGACTCTTGCGGCTTGGCGTAGAATTGACCACATTTTTTTAGCAGAAACAGGTGAACTCTACTTCATCTGCCATAATGACCTCTAGTTCAGAAAGAGTAACGTTTCTTTTACTTGTCAAAGCACGACAATAAATATAGCTTCACTGAATGGGACAGATACCTAGAGTAGTACAGAAGGCAGAGGCGTAGCGAGGGGGGGGGGCTGGGGTGCGGACCGCACCGGGTGACACCATTTAGGGGGGGTGACACCAAGGCAAAAAAATAGCAAAATACATAGAGAAAAACTTGAGGGGGGGGGATCAAATCGAAATCTTGAGGGGGGGGGGTGCAAATCGAAAGTTTGAGGGGAGGGGGGGGGGTGCAAATCGAAAACTTGAAGGTGGGTGCAAATCGAAAATTTGAAAGTTTGTCCCCGGGAAGGGTGGCTACGCCTCTGGGGTGTGACACCACTAAATGCCGCACCGGGTGACACCCGACCTCGCTACGCTACTGACAGAAGGACTTAAGAATTGACAAACGCAGGTCACAAACAGTGTTTCTTCCAGACTATTATCTCCGGGGTTGGGGGGGGGGGGGCACTTGAAATTTTCAGGGGGTGGGCGGACTAAAAGTATATATTTTCTATATAAATTCAATCCTCCCCCCCCCCCCCACGAATAAATGCCTGGAAGAAACTCTGGTCACAAAGTCAGGACTACCTATAAACAGCAATCCCAACACCACAGAAACATTGTTTCCAGATCAAAACGGGTTTAACCTGAATTCTCTCAGGTCAATAAACTGAAGGTTAAAATAATTAAATATACACGAAAGACAATTCTTGAAAAAATTTCAAGGGAAGTGATCTGTAAAGATTAAAATTGTGCATGATTTTGTGAGGTTATCGACCCTTGAGACACCAATATTTCTCTTAGCGGAAAATTAATTAGATTTCTCAAGCAAAACCTTTTAAATAGTTGGCAAAGGTTAGCGTATTTAATAAATATATCACGTAAATTTAAACACTGCTACCCCTTCTGTTAAAGATGATGCAATTTTTTAAAAAAGAAAAAAAATTGATAACAATATTTTGTAAAAAAAAATGTATAATTTAAATAGAATTTACATACAATAACGAACAACTCCCACACGGAAATTTAAGTGCACCATCCAAAGTTTCACGTGCCCCGCCCCCTTTCCACTCCTCTCGGAGAAAAATAAATTGTCTAAAAGAAACACTGCCGATCTATTCTTTACCTTTGGTGAAATCGATTATACAATTAGTTTAAGCATTACAATGTAGTGTAGGGTATACCAATCATAAGAGCAATTTACACTGTCTTCCTTAAACCACTCAGCAAAAATCTGTTTTATGAACAAGCTGTCACAGTTTAAGTGATCTATAAGGGCTGTAGAACCAAGGGTTGGGATGGATAGCCCAAAAGCCCTCTAAGGGCAGTAACGCCATAGGGTTGGGATGGATAGCCCAAAAGCCCTCTAAGGACTGTAGAGCCAAGGGTTGGGATGGATAGCCCAAAAGCCATCCAAAGGCTGTAGAGCCAAGGGTTGGGATGGATAGCCCAAAAGCCCTCTAAGGGCAGTAAAGCCATAGGGTTGGGATGGATAACCCAAAAGCCATATATGGGTTGTAGAGCCGAAGGTATGGGATAATTAGTAGTATATTAGGTCACTTTTGGGTCGCATGGGTGAGCAGGATGCGGATGCGGATGCGGATGCGGAACAAAGGCTATATAGGAAAATACTCCCAGCCGGAGGTACAATGACATATAGCAAAATACTCACCCACCAGGGTGAGGTGGGTGATCCGGAGGTACAACGAGATATAGTAAAATACTCCCTGGGTGATGCGGAGGTACACCGACATATAGTAAAATACTCACCCACCTGGGTGAGGGTGGGTGAGCCGGAGGTACAATGACATATAGTAAAATACTCACCCACCTGGGTGAAGGTGGGTGAGGGTGGGTGAGCCGGAGGTACAATGAGATATAGTAAAATACTCACCCACCCTAGGGTGGGTGATGCGGATGCGGAGTAGGTCAGTAGGTCACCACCGGTGACCTTGTGACGTAATTAGTAACATTATGACGTAATCATTGACCTAGTTACGTAATCAGCGACCTAGTTACGTAATTTTAATGAGTTTTTTTAATTAGTTTGAATTTAATTTTTAAATTTTAATTAATTTTTATTAACTAGTTACGTAATTTTAATGTCTTTTTTAATTAGTTTGAATTTAATTTTTAAATTTTTAATTAATTTTATTAACGAGTTACGTAATTTAATGCGTTTTTTAATGAGTTTGAATTTAATTTTTAAATTTTAATTAATTTTTGACCTAGTTACGTAATTTAATTACTTTGATTGTATTTTTATTTTGTTTAATTTGTTTGTTTACTTGTTGTTTAATTTAATTACTTTGTTTATATTGTGTAATTTTTATTAACGAGTTACGTAATTTGATTATTTGTTTATATTGTGTAATTTTTATTGACGAGTTACGTAATTTGATTATTTGTTTACTTTTTAATTATTTTTATTTTGTTTATTTTTAATTTTATTTTATTTTATAATTAGTTAAATTATTATTAACTAGTTACGTAATTTGATTTTAATTACTTTTGTTTATTTATTTATTTGATATATTTCTTTTCTTTGTTGTTTAATGTTGTTTATTTATTTGAATGTATGTATGTTTTAAATAAAAGACTAACACTAGCATGTACTAGAACAGTCTTTGTATAGGTACCATTCTTCAACACAACGAACGTTACAAAAATAGAACATCCATTAAAGATAACGATCAGCCACAGCTGTTACGTATCGACCCGCCCGCGAAGTTTTCTCACCGCTGCCCGTTTTAATGGGAATGTATTGATCGCAGCCGCTGGCCCATCACACCTAATTAAATTTTTGTTATGCTTCACCGAGTTTCCCCCGAGCGGTTGACAGCTGTGCAACAGCTGTTGTGCGACAGCTGGTGGTGTAATTAGGTTGAGCAATCGGACATTACCTTGTTGGTTTTCTAGTACGCGTATGCTACACGTATATACACACAC